CTTGGTGTTCTAAGTTATAGCATTGTATCTTAGCACTCTATTCCTGTAAAGAGCAATTTGTCTGAAGAAAAATATGCTTCTCATCATTTTTCAAAATAAATATTTGGTGGAATGTATATTTATTTATTTGAATTCTATCTTTATTATTTTTACAAATAACTCAAGGTGGTAAACATATCTGGCACGGTTTCTCCCCCTATTTTCCCCACAGCAACTCACCTAACAGGGCTCAGAAAGAGTGAGTAGCCCAAGGTCACCCCGCTAACTTTCATGGCTTTGGCAGAACTGATGGTCTCTCACTTTCTAGCCTAGTACCTTAACCACTAGATCAAGCTGGCTTGTAACTGACCAACTCGCATGCCCTCTCATTGTCATACGACTTACATCAGTGTACACCATCCTCATATAAAAGAACCTTAGTCTTCCAACCTAGTTTTAAAAAGATGTACCTGTATTGATAGATGGATTATATAGACATTTAGGCTGCTTCAATGATACAAAAGAGGGATTTGGAATTCTTGGGAGCATCTATAAATCACCTGTTTTTTTAAATTAAAGCAGCCACTATTTATAATAGAGTTGAACTATGGTAACTTTAAAAAGTGTGGATCAGCTCTCAGAATTTCCTAGCCAGCATGCTCAGGCTTTCTGTTAAGTTCTCCCCAGATTTCTTTGTGGAGGCAATTAAGGAGCACCTCCAGCATGTGATCTCCATCAGTGAAATTGGTGTCCTCTCTGCCTTCCTCTGGTGCATCTTATCCCTATGGCTCAGTACTGTAGGTCCAGATCTAAATGTGATCTGATGAATGAATGGCAATCTGCCATGTTAGAAGATGTGATCAGTATCTGATAACCTAGTCCTATTAGCAGAATTGGTTTCTCAAAGCAGGGTAATTCCCCTAAACCATCAAGCGTCAAGGTGATTACTGTGTTATCAGTAATATAGTGAAACATCCCTATACACTGAATGCTGTTTGTCATTACTCCCAAACAGGAAGCCCAAGAAGAGGAATATTTAAGTCAGCCAATGAACTGGACCTGAATGCTATGAACCTGGGGAAACAGGAATGTTTGTGTAATTCATCAAGAGTGTTTCCTCGCCTCTTTCTGTGAAGGTTATAACTCAGAAATAGAGTTATATCCAAGAAGCATGGAGTTTGAACTGTCAAATAGTTGACAAAACATACAAAGGTGCCTTTCGAGATCAGGAAAAGTTACACCACATTCTACAGATCGATCTAGTTACGATGCCACTGCACCATCATAATCATGTTCTACAGCAACCGAAACAAGTTCTACAAAAGAACGATAACATTACTTGGGTAAAGCTCATCCTTTATAAAGTTAACTTTATTGTGACTAGAACAAGCCAGCTATGAATATTAGATATCTGTATTGTAGCTGGTTCCAGATCAAAAATTGTAAAGTTACGATTGCCTGCCCATACTATAGACATTCTGACTTGGCAGTCAGTTCCTACTACTATTAACTATCTCCTAGTAGTCTAACTGTCCTCTCAGATTCCATACTCCATATATTGCAGAAAATTTGATATTATGGACCTTTGTTTATTAACCATCAATGGATCCTTGAAGTGCTATGACGTATACACTTATGGCACTAAGACTAGTTGCTGACTGGTTGCTGTATGGTGCTGACTTTGATGTATTTATTTTATTTATTTATTTATTTGATTTGCCAATTGTTTACAAGATAATAAGTATAAATGTATACATAGTTGTGAATACATGAAATGGGTACATATAAGAAAAATAAAAGAATAAGAGAAACAATAGGACAGGGACGGTAGGCACGTTGGTGCGCTTATGCACGCCCCCTACAGGCCTCTTAGGAAAGGGGTGAGGTCAATAGTAGACATTAGTATGTATTATATATATATATGTATTATATATAGTATATAGACATTAGTAGTATGACTGCTTTGGTGGTGATTATCCTTTGTGACTACTTGATAATAAATTATTGCCTTAGAAGATGAACCTACAAACAAATTAGTTTATTTATTCAATGTTTTTCAGTATGTTTATAATGTACACCTTTCTTTTTTTTTTTTTTTTTTTTTTAAAACAAGTTTTATTAAAAGTTTCAACAACAAACAAATCATTACATATTAAATCTTTCCCTGTCTTTCTACAATAATTTCCCCAATATTCTCATAAAACACAAACAAACACAAACAAACATAAAAAAATCTTTTAGTAAAGTACCTTGGCCCCAGTTACCTCTCTTTGCATGGGCTAAAATAATAGCGCATATCACTCTTCACAATTCTATCTTATTTAATCCATCTTAATTAAATCATTAAATTTGTATCTTTTGCCCATTCATTATCCCTCTATCTCTTCTTATAATAAAAAGAATTTCTCCTGAAATCACTAATCAGAGTATGATGCCTTTCTATCCTCCCCCTAAGTTAGTAAAATTAACATTCAACATAACAAATACCCAATTTAGTTCTGCTTGGTACATTCTATCCACCAAAAATGTTTAAATACATTGTATCCTCCTTTCCTTCGATATTTTATTACATTTCTAAAATCAATCATTATTAAATCAATCATTATTAAAAACTTCAACATTTCAATTTTAAACTTCAACATTTTAATTTCTTATTAAATCTTAAGCCATTCTAATTTACTATTTCAAATATAAATGTTACAATACCATCTTCTGTACCTTAGCAGAATCTTTCTTACAGAAATTTATATTTCATCCTTTGTCTCTAAAAAAAATCCCTTTTCTCCCATCCAATTTTAAAGCTTTGAGGCTTTTCTCCGCCTTTCCCCTTTCTTTCTTCCCCCACCAAATCTTCCTACCCCCCCTTCTTCTTCTAACCTCTGCCTTGCTGGGATCCCTTCTCTGTTTTGTTCCCTTTTTCTCTTGTTTATTATCATTATATTTATTTTGCATCATATTTTTCTCTTTCTCAAATGTTTTTTTAAATCTTAAGTCCTTCATTTTCCTTACTCTCTTCCTTCCTTCTTCCTTAGATAAGTTTTGGGATTCAATGAAGATGGCGTCTTCGTCTCTTCCTTGTTGTTCTTCTTCCGTTTCCATCTGTTCCATTGTCTGTTGGTAATTGACCAGCGCCATTTCTAGAAATAAAAAAGCTTTTTCCATGCCATCTTTGCAGGCTGCTTTTGTTTGCTCATATTCATCCCTCAGGTCTTCAAAAAGGAAAGCCATTATAAATAAATCTTTTCTTTTCTTTATTCCTCTTCCTTCTTACACCAACCAAATATTCCGAGAGAAAGGCAAAACAATCCCAAAATCCACAATCCTCAATAAATCCAAGCAAGCCAAAATTCCCCCTTCCTCTTCCAGGGGTGGTATCAAACAAATAAAAAAAAAGAGTCCAAATCTATATTTTAAAGCCTTATTAAGATTATATTTCTGTCCTCAAGTCTTCAAGGCATCTCCTCCAACAAGATCCAAATTTATATATTTTCTTTATCCTCTCCCTTCCGGCTTAATTCCGTCGGGAGGGAGAGTAAACTTTCCCTTCAGCACCTCAAAATAGCCGCTTTTTTTTTTCTCTTGTGGAAAAAATCATCAAAAAACCATCTTTTCCAGGAATTAAATTAGATAAATCTCAAAGCCCTGGGTCAACCAAGAAGAACTTTCACTTTCAATAACTTTCTCTTCTTCCTCCTGCGCATACTTGCCCGGCTGTCAACTTCTTTGTGGCGGCCATTACGGACCGCCGCTGCACCGTCCTGGTAACAGGGGGTTCTGCCGGCCAGGGAGGGGGTCTGCAACACCCCCAAACCCTTCCTCCGGATCCCCCTTACCTTCAGCTACCCCTGCAGGGCAGCCTTGCTCCGCACCCGTCTGGGTCGGAGCCCCAAAACGGCTAGCGCGGCAGGGATCGCGCAGCTTCGCGAATCCCTACCGCTCGCGAAGCCGACAAACCGGAAAACCCCTATAATGTACACCTTTCTAATAAATGATGAATAGCCAAGGTCAAAAAACACTGATTAAGAGACAGCAAGAAGCAGGCAGATACACAAACCCATAAAAGACACAAATTGCTTTAATTATTACAAAAATCCTTAAATGATTTTTTGAATTAAAAATGATTCAAAAATGTGCTTTGTTATGAAGCCCTTTCACTCCTTGAATAACTGTAATGGAAATGCCATTCCCAAACTGATATTTAAGGTATTAACAAGGCTGTACTATAAGTCAACAACTTGGAGATTAATTTAGAAAGAAAAAATAATTTAATTAATTTAATGTAAGATGATCCACTGGGCTGATTACATTGTATACAAATTGATACCTTTGTGATAAAAAGAAACATGTTGGCATTTTTTAAAAAGAATTTTTTATTTTCACAATGTAAACAAGCATAAACATAAACACAAAACATAAAACCATCTTTCTGTTGTACAGTGTGTCGGTTGGTCCATATCTCTTGTGTACAATATCAACAGTATTTCCCTTCTAAATGCATTATTAAAATTCATATTATATAAATCAACTATGCATATCATATTATATTATAATTAACTCCTTATTAGACTTTAATTGTAAATTCATAACATCCTTTTTGAGCAAATCTCAATTTTTACATAACCTAGTTCATAATATATTCATTTCATGATAATCAGTTATAACATATCATTACATTGTCTTATCTTTACTATATTGTTATATTTATATTGTATTATATTTTATTTCCATATTTTCTTATCTAGCCATTGATGAAATAAATCCCAAATTTTATAATATTCTTTGTCTTCTTGCTCTCTAATTGCTATTGTCAATTTACTCATTTCTGCACATTCCATTATCTTCGTAATCACCTCCTCTTCTATCGGAATCTTTTCACTTTTCCAATTTTTGGCAAATACAATTCTAGCTGCTGTCAAAACATTTATAATTAAATATATCAATTCTTTACTATATCCTTCAGGTAAGATACCCAATAAAAATATCTCTGGTTTCAAGTCTATATGATGTTTTGTCATTTTCTCCAGCCATGTATGAATTTTAGCCTAGTATCTCTTGGCTTCCACACACATCCACCGCATGTGGTAGTATGATCCAGGTATCTAATGACACTTACAACATTTCTCTGATTTGTTCTTAAACATCCTTGCTATCCTTGCCAGGGGTAGATGCCACATGTTGGCATTTTTTAATATGAGTATTGGAAAGCTGCTGAATTCTTGCCCTCTCCTGTCAAAGACATTAAGACAGATAAATGACTATATTAGCTGTCTTGATGAAAATTTTGTCTATCAAAATGCCAAATATTTTGATATTTGAAAATATAAAAATATTTTTAAAAATAGAAGACAACTCTCAAACTACAGTATCTTTGGACCTTTCTGAGCACATGCAGTAATTTGGTTTCACCTAATTCAGAGCCTAACTGAGACAACATTATTTTGAACTATGAAGGCCATTGCTTAATGTATAAACAGCTGATTGAAACTAATGCTACTTCAGTTATAGGATCACTCTTGTCAGATGAGACTTCCAGAGCTCCATCTCAATTTATTGCCTGCTGATAATTAGACCATGCATAAATATAAATAACTAAGATTTTACTTGACAGAAAAGATGTAAAATCATGCAAACCCAGGCAAAATTTTTGTTAGATTGACTTTGTTCAATTTAGCTTCTATATTGGAAGCATTTGGCTGATAGGTTTTCCAGCAATAAAAAGTCATACAACTTGATATTCTTTCTGATCTCTCCCTTCCCACCCAAATTTTGGGAATAATTGTATAAAGAGCCTTTAGACTCTGTCTGTCTGTCTGACATCAGGAAAACAGAATGGATAGAACCAGATCAGGTGTGGAGGAAGAAGGTAGCAAAAGAAAAAAAACAAATTCAGTAAGGGTCCATGAAGGAGAAAAAAAAATTGCCTTCGTTCATGAAAAAATAATAATTCCCCAATATATCCATATGGGAGATAGAGTGGAAGCAGTAACATTAGATGCTTCATTCTTAAGCCTCTTTCCCCTAGTCACATGACCTAAAATGAAGCCAAGTGCACACATATTCATACAAATTTGGATGTAACAAAAGGGGACAGCAGAAATACCCCAAAAGAATCACAAGGTATGGATCAAACCCTCTCAATTTCTACTGAGACCATCACAATCCCCAATTAAAGCTCATCTCTATCTACCTGTATGCCAGCCTACCTGCCTGATTGTCTCTCTCTTATGCACACTGATTCTTCTCTAAAAAGAAACACAGATATAGCATGTTTTATCTTCACAGAGAAGACACTATGATGTCCTCTTTTATCAATATGACTACTGGTCACATTGATAAAACTGAAGAAGCAGTCCCATGTTTACTTATCCCCAAATAAGTGTAATGAAATGTATTTGTGAATCAGTATGCCTAAAATTGCACCACCACTCTGCCTTAAGAAACCTAGCAGAAGTCATAATGGGTGTGGGAACAGCAATTAATGTTGGTTTTTCTTTTAAATAATCATGGGACTATTAGTAATTATTGTAATTGCTCAAATCATAAACATGAAAAGCCTTCCATCAGACTTAAATCAACTTGCAATTAATTCATCTGAACAAAAAAAACACATTTCCATAATAGCTTTTTATTTTACATTAAAAAATAATTGTCAATATTTTGGGGGAAAATTATATTCTTTCCTAAAATGACAACAGCCTTAACTTTTTTTTGCATGTTCTTTTTTGAGATTAGCATCATTATATCCTCTTAAGATATAGAGACTTATCCCCACAATCTGTAATTACTTTAATTACATGATAATTATATAAATAATGCGTTTGAACACAGACTTCATTTTCTTTAGTTTCTAAATATTATTATGTTTTCAGATGCATAAACAAAAAAAAAACATTTAAGTTTATTTGAAGAGCAGGTGAACTGACTGCTACTGAAAAAGGAACAATGAAAACATGATTATTGCAAACTGCCTAACTTCGAATCATTATAAAACAATTAGATGTGCACATTTTCCAAACATTTAAAATAAACTGAATAACAAGAAATCTTACTCTTAGGTTTGGAAACAGGTTCTAACATTTTTTTGTGGATGGGATAAAATTGACAAAAATAAATTTGTAATCGACACAATATCCCACACTGGAATTAAAAAAATCTGTGAACCAACCAACTAACCAACCAGTCAACCAACCAACCAACCAACCAACCAACCAAATCAGCAAAAACAGAGTATCCCATCTAGATTTTTTTTTAAAAAAATCAACTTGAATTTTCAGGATTTCACAGATTTATCCCGAAAAGTGTTCTTTTATAAGAAAATGTAATCTTTTGTATGAATGTTGACATCTTGTGAGATTTACCAATTTATGTTAATGCAGTCAACACTATTCCTTTTTATGGGAAACATTATAAAAAGCACAGAAAATAGCATGAAATTATACAGAAAATGAAATTAAGGATATCACATAACAAAGAAAAGGACCACTAACTACAATTAATTTATGCTAATGCCAATTACATATCACTTCTTATCTTGTTCTTTTCTTTACAGATAACTACATTTATATACTGATTCTAACTTTAAAATTAAATATTTTAAAATACTAATTTAATTTTGACGTTCCATGAGGCTCATCTAACAGTTTTATGAGATTCTCAACAGGAGACCAAATACCTAATCATACTGAAGACCTGCTCTATGAAAAGTTTGAAGCGGTTTGGTTTTTAAAAAGTGATACAATAGCTTCCTCAAATATTTGCAAAGCTGTCAGGAAGCTGATAGAGTAATGGTTTTCTATTACTAAAATAATAAATTCAAATAAGCACCAAGTAGAAATTCCACATATGGAAAAAGTTGCTTTAGAGGATAGATTAATCTTCATTTTTAAAGACTAATGCTACATCCATCTACAATATCAAAGATCAGAGTATATTTTTCTAGTACATAATAGAATCTGAAGAAAATTATCTTTATGATCTGATGAAAATTATTGGTATCAAGCTGAATGAAAGATGAAATGCTATGATAATCTTCAGACTTTATCCTGCTTTTGTGTTGAGGTGAATGGATACATTTTTCTAGCTAGGAAGTTTGGGTATAAATTCGTCTTTTACAACATATGGAAGAAAGGAAGGGTTACAGGAGTAGATAGAATCTCTTCCATGTGATTGAAGGAAGAATTCTTTAGACAACAACTTCCTTCTGCTCAAAGTGTAATTGAACCACAAATTGTGAATCTTACTGTTGAATCCATTCTGTTTTTTGTTTCTGAGAGACAGATCATTCTTAATGAAATGGCAGCATTTTGATATGCACACTTAGTGCCACTTGAGAACTGTAGCTTGGGCTTGGAAAAATATGGTGTCCTTCAATAACAAAGCTTCAAAGCATTAGTGACATTAGACACTTTTCACACCCTTACCACATAAAGATATTTTTTGTTTTTCATTGTTCAGGAGTCATTTTTTGTCAATACATTTCTTGTTCTATTTTCCAAAATCATGTTAATTTCAGCAACCAAAATGTTCCAGAGTAAAGAGTAGGAGAAATGAATCTTTAAATATAAAGTATTCCAAGCTTCCTTCCTTCAATTCAGCATCTGATCTGAAAAATGGAAAATAAAGTTTCTGTAGATGGAAATTAAAAACATGTGTTTGTCACACACATTGGTGATAATTATGAAATTCAGAGCAAAATGCCTCTTCACGTATTAAAAATAAACATTATAGTTGAACAAATTAATTTCAAACTTTAAATATCTCCAATTGTATTTGTTTGCTTCTAAGATCTTTCTTCTTAATAGTATATTAATGACAGCTTATTCCTGGTCCTACATGCAGTAAAGACAATATCCAATAACTACATAATCTTAACAATAAATTTAAATAATATTTTTAAAAATGGCAGAAATGTCATATTACTGCAATTGTGTGAAATTTTGTAAGGAATAGAGTATAAAAATAACTTTAATAATCTATTTCATCATAACCTTAAACACTAGGATATTTTCTAGCTTGTGTTATTTTTTACAGCTGTTATAAATACGCTAAGTGTACCTCTTATTCTACAGTTACAACAAACCTACTTTCTCTTAAATCTATTATGTTCAATTATTAAAATGATAAATAATAATATTTTCATGAAAAAGATATATAAGGAAATTTCCAGTCAGCAATAAACATAGATACTATCTTTTGTCTAATCAATGAAGCAAGTTCCATCATCTTTGCCAACTATTTCACCAAATTTTCCATCTTTCTACATATATAATTTCACTGCAGTTGTCTTTTTTTTTTTTAAAGAAAACCCAAATTTCCATGACTATTTTTGTTGCTGTTTGTCCACCAGTCCCAAAAAAGAAAAGCTCTGGTTAAAGTGTAAACTAATTTAACCACTGGAGGCACAGGGGTTAGAATACAGCATTACAGCATTAGAGTTCAATCGTGATCCTGCCAAGCAGTGTTGGGATTCAATTTTTTTACTACCAGTTCTGTGGGCATGGCTTAGTGGGTTGGCAGGGGAAGGTTACTGTAAGATCTCCAGTCAGAGGTGGTATTTGCTGGTTTTCTGAATTACTCAAAATTTCCACTACCTGCTCAGAACCTGCTGAATACCACCTCTGCTGCCAAAGTTGGTAAAATGAGGATCCAGATTGTTGGGGACAATATACTGACTTTGAAAACCACTCAGACAGTGCTATAAAGCACTGTGGAGCAGTATATAAGTCTGGGTGCCATTACTATTGCTAATTTTTTAGATCCTCTCTATCAGTGATGTACTTGAATCCAGAATTTTCTATATTTTTTACACATTCACCAAACATTTTAATAACTTTATTGCTTTTTAAATTAATAACAAAAAAGATACAAGTTTCTGTGTCCTTAATATAGCTAAAAGACTGACATTAGAAAAATAAATATATGGCCCCATTTATCCAATAAATTGAAACTTGATTTCACTTGCTACTGATGAATAGATTGCCGATAGATGTAGACTTTACATGAAGAAATATAATGAAATATTGGACTCATATAAAAAATACAATATACAAAATGCAGTTTGTTAAAAAAAAGCATGATAGCTATCTAAATGTATTTGCTTGCATTTGAT